AAATTCTAAATAAAAGCACCTTGTCTGCCATATTCAATCAAACGTGCATGAAAGAAGGGCTGCTGCCTATATATATATATATATATATATATATATATATATATATATAGTGATCTCCAAGCGTAGCTCAGATGTGGCACAAGGCCGAATGTATGGGGTACCCAGTGAGGATCGAACTACTCAGTCATAATGGTGCTAGCAAGATAATCTTGCTAACCATTACACCACATTGAGGTGACCATATTGATTTTCTAAGCGTAGCTTAGATGTGGCACAAGGCCGAAATTATGGGGCACCCAGAGAGGATCGAACTCAATACTCAGCCTCCTTGGTACCCAACAATGCAATGCCTTCGGGAGCTCCGTCTCCTGGTAGGTCACCCATGACAGTAAATATTCAGGGACGGGACCAGACCAAAAATGACTTGACGCCCGACAGGTATGAGGTCAAAGCGACGTTCTAGGTATGAGAACAAGTTGGCAGCCCTATGAAAGTTGTTTATCATGAATCTTCCTGTCAAGACCTGGTTTGTGTGCTATGAAGTTAGCCTGATGTATATTTATGCGCGTTTTTGAATTTAAAGATTCCAAAAACCTGACGATATTTTGTACCTCTGTTCATAAATACTTGCGGCAAAATAAGATCCTTACATTTACCTTGATAAAGGCCATCAGAGGACGAAACGCTCGCGTCCTGGGTAAGACGATAAACTACATCCGCGTTCTGGGTAAGATCCGCCCTGTCGGCTGGGGCTGTAGAATACGCCGGCTGCGCCTCTGCAGAGGGGTAAGACCCACCCCAATGGGGCGTCCTGGGTATGGCGATAAACGACATCTGCGTCAAGCGTAAGACGATAAACTACGTCCAACAACAAGGCCTGTGATAAGAGAGTTTTTGAGGAGCGTGGAACCACCTCTTAATTGCTGGTGTTCCTAGGTCCATCCTGACCAGGAGTGGTAGCACCTTTTAGGGTCCCAGCTATGGGCAAATAGTTAACCCCGAAACTGAGGTAAAAAGCATTATAAAAGTGTAAAAATAGGTTTTAATACCAGAAATACTTTGTAAAAATTATTACCAGAAATTAATTTTTGAAGAAAGAAATATTATTACCAGAAAGATATTTTAGAAAAAAAAAATATAACCAGCAATACTTTTTTGAAAAAATATTATTACTCGCAATACATGTGATTTTACTCGAAAATATGAGTAATTAAAAATGGTTCAAATATATATGTATACGTACACACCTTTTTACCAAACTGTTGCTATGAATATATTTCAAAAATTTTGTTGGCATTACCCACTGAGCCAACCAACGAAACGCGTTAGTTTTCTTTTCCTCTTTATTCATGTAAACACATAAATTAATGGGAATAGAATTTAATTATATCTCTTCCACCAGAATCAAAACATCGGGACTAGTGATAGCATTGTAACCCAGAATGTTTGCGCAAAGAGAAAATACATTGAAATAACATTTCAACGTCTTTTCTACACACGTCGTTTTATCTTTACAGCTTGAAAATAGGCATATAGAATCCGCAAATCCACAAAATTAAACACTGTCGAACAATAGCACTTCCAACATCTACAACACAAAATTCATAATCCTACTCTCTAACACTCTATCAAGACCATTTAAAAATAAATCCGTTATCCTCGATACCAAGCGCTTTACCCTCCAAGACAATGGGAGATATTATAATTAGTAAGAAAAATAGGCCCCACAATACTTCAGATACCGGGATTTATCAGATTAAGTGATTGCAATGTAAATACACTGACATTGGAGGTTTCTGGAAGTCTAAATGTCCGCATCTACGAACAGAAGAGAGACCTACGTTGTGACAAATATTTAAACTCACTCGTAATACAAGATTAGCCGTCTTTGATTTTGCAAATGCTACCTAATTAAAAAGAAGATATTGAAGAACAACACTGAATTCAAAACTTGCAAAGTTTTGTTTGCCGACTTTATAGCATGCTGTAAACCAGTCCTTTGTATTCAGCTCTTCCAAAATATATGGATATTTAATCATTTTATATGAAGCAAGTCAATTAAGATGTAAAAGGTCTCTAAGTGTTAGAAAATATGAAAAAGTAAAAAATTTCTATAAAGGAGAGATTACAATAAAAAAACACAAAAATTAAGTAGACAGTAGATAATGATTAACACAGCATTTAAATTTTTGAAGATCAAAATTGACCGGGGAAATAAGAATCCGGGCGAGAGTTCTACAAGCGAGATGTGGGATAAAAGAAATTGTTAGCATAAAACATACGGTTACATCTATATCAGCTGTAATATGATGAAACCTTACCACCAATCAAGTACTGCGTTTAAATCCATAAAATCTAGGTAATATATATATATATATATATATATATATATATATATAAAACATTAGGCAACATATAATTTACATACAAAAAAAATAATCACACAGAATCAATCAGAAGTATTAATGCGATTATTGGCGACATCCATCGCTAGAAACATAATATATGCATTAAAATACTGTTAATCCATAGTGCGAAGTGATCCTCGTCGATAAACTTGATGTCTGTAGTTTTCAGTTTATTTGATGTTAAAATGCTACTACTTACGAATAGTCCTCTATTCATCATCTTACACAACCGTCAATAATAGCAGATATTCAAAAAACATCTTTCGGTCGACATACAAGTATTTCGTCTCCAAGTTTTTTGATTTTATGAGGAAAAAACACATGCCTGATGATGAATAGAGGACTATTCGGACATTTTAACATCAAATAAACTGAAAACTACAGACATCAAGTTTATCGACGAGGATCACTGCACACTATGGATTAACAGTATTTTAATGCATATGTTATGTTTCTAGCGATGGATGTCGCCAATAATCGCATTAATACTTGATTGATTGATTCTATGTGATTATTTCTTTATATATATATATATATATATATATATAATGGACTCTCCCGTCGGTTTCGACGTATGAGGATCTGACAGCTTACTTGATTCAGTTATGAAATATTGTGCGATAATCTTAAGTAGCATTTAAGACCCGCTAGTGCTTTACAAAGGTGGCCACATATGGAGCAAGTGTGAAGATTGTGAGATGAGATCACTGTTAGATTGACTGACCTTTTAGATCATGCTCTCGCTTCTTGAAGATGATTCAGACTAGCAGATTGAAAACCGCTAAGTCCACTAAAACACGTTTACCTCCATTCCACCCGCTCCAAAGGTAAGCGCTCAAAGGTGGTCTGTGGTATATTGACGACTGACAAGTTGCTTTTCATCTTGTTTTTGTATCTTAGCCATGGACGTTCTACATTCCTGTAGCCCTGATCTAACTGGCTGTATATTAGGATCTTGGGTATCCTGTCATCAGACATTCTCAAGACATGACCAGTCCACCGTAACTGAGACTGTATGAGAAAAGTCTCGATACCTAGAATATATTACCTGTTACACAGGTCTACGTTAGATGTCCTATCTTGAAGATAATATATATATCTGGTTTCGCTTCATTCACATTCCCAACAATACTCTTGGGAATTATATATATATATATATATATATATATATAATAGTAAACAAAATATAAACCTTTCAGCACCATATACACTTATAACGTGGACTCCTTACTACCGCCAATTTAACGCTCTTATAATAATTCCATTCAGTACAACCTTTTGGTTGGATCTTCGTTTTTTGTATTGGATGAGGAATATCATTAATAAAAACATCAATTTCCATTTATAAATAACATTTTATGTGTGTGGGTGCGCATATGAAAAAGAGAGAGAGAGAGAAAGCATGTATGTATGTGTGTATGTGCCTGTCAGTCAGTGTGATAACGAGAGACTGGGTATATGATATAAATAGGAAGAAGTAGTATTACTCTCAACTTTTCAATGTTATGTCAATTACCGAGACAAACGATCATGGTTCTCCACCTTTTCCTTTACTTTATTATTTGTGAACTGTTCAAACTTCTAAAGAAATATAGTAAAGTGGGTTGCCATTGACTTCTTCACACTTTTCAATTCAGGTTTTTTCTTATCCTATTTAGGCAATCAAAGCTAAAAACACACACACAAAAAAACAGTATAATTTTCTGTTTAACCCTTAGTTTGAAATGGGAATGAAGCGAAACCAGCCGGAATTCGAACTCGGTTGGACGATTCCATGCCATTAACCGTCACGATAACTTCACATGTCGTGATATTGTACGTGATTTACAATATTTCATATGTTCTTTCGAACAATAGGTCATAAATGAGTGTTTTCATTGCCTGGGGCCAGTGTCCGGTTGCAATTGAATATGTCGGTTTGAACAAAATAAAAGTTATCAAAATTCTCTTTCTCTCACTATCTCTCTCTATTAATCTCTCTCACCCTCTCTCTTTCTCTCTCTCCCTCTCAGGATATATATATATATATATATATATATATATATATATATATGATTTTTAATTAGGATATAGAAATCCCGAAAAATGACACACACACACACACACACACATTGTTGAAACTTGAATAAAGCATGGAATAATAATAAAACAACACAAAAGGTACTTAAACAAAATGTATTGACACAAGAACGTGTACACAATATTTACAGATAGTTTGGTATATTCTTGGGAAGACCGTTCCTGTAGAATGGGTTGACTTAGTCACCAGTCGGGCAGAGTCTCTGGATTGGATCTCTTCTTCCTCCCCGTCTTTCCGGTACCAACCATATTTATATGGTCGGTACTCCACTATGTAAATTAGGTGGATCATACCACAACATATATATATATATATATATATATATATATATATATATATATATATATATATATTGACCTCTCATATGAACTGAAAAGTCCTCATGGGAATAATACATAACAATTCCATTTTGTAATTATATTTATATATATATATGTATGTTTGTAGTGTATACGTATGCGTCTGTTTGCGTGTCATTACTTTCGCATATATATATAGAAGAAGAAGAAGACGTGGAGAAGAAGAAGAAGAAGAAGAAGAAGAAGAAGAAGAAGAAGAAGAAGAAGACGTGGAGAAGAAGAAGAAGAAGAAGAAGAAGAAGACGAGAAGAAGAAGAAGAAGAAGAAGAAGACGTGGAGAAGAAGAAGAAGACGTGGAGAAGAAGAAGAAGAAGAAGAAGAAGAAGAAGAAGAAGAAGAAGAAGAAGAAGAAGAAAGGAGGATTGTAGTACAAAATCTACCTATCTATCAAAGTGCACTACTTATCTCTTATGCAAAAATTTCATTCAGTAACGCTCCACCTTGGATGGCTATATAGTGATTAGTAAAAAATATGAGTGTATCAATCATTCAGCCGATCTCAGTATTCCTCAGTTCCATCAATTCAGATCTTTACAGATTTGATCCGATATGCTACATATAGCCGGTTGAATCACCCTTTTTCTCTTTCATATACCATTAGTTAGAAGTTCTACTCAGACAGCTTCTACCAAAGAACGCTTATTTTATGGAAATGGGAGGATAGTTACCCGATCACTAAGATTTTAACATCTTCAAAACTGAGATCAACCACTGTCTATTCTCCATATCCTTGTAATCTGGCATACTTCCTTCCTTTACGTCTATAGAACGACATCCTGAACGAACCTGACACATAGTAGGTCGTAAATGTATGAACAGATCATCGCTTGACAACAAAGGAAATCCAGACATTAGAAAAGTTAATCAGGACTTCGCCAGAGAATTAAGAACAATTTGAAATGTGAAGATTGTTACCATACAATTTGTTTCCCTTGGCAGCGTGACAAAATCTGGACACAAAGAACACGTACACAAATACTGTTACCTACTAGTGTCGAAAAACATCACACAGGATGCAGTCATAGCAATAATGGCGTGTCTTGGATAAGACATTCTGACGGAACTGATCCCTCTTTTGGCTGCTTTTGAATTCGGAGTTTTTCTTCTTCTAGCTAGGTTGCCATCGAAAGGTAAAAAAATATACAGTCTTCTATGCTATTTAACCCATAGCTCGAGAAAGAAGATTCATTCCTTCTCCAACGGCATTAGTGTGAAGCAAATGAAACAGAATCTCGCTGGAATTTAACTCGCTATGCCGTTAAACTACCCGCGCTCGGAAAATTAAAATTTGAGTTTGAGAAAAAAATCCTTCATCATTTTGTTTTTGCATGGTGTGAAAAGTGTTGGAGATTTTTAAGAGACTTGCATTCACCCAATTTCCAGCAAATTACAATATTATTCCTTCTTTTTAGAATCAATATTTTCCACAATTTTCTTTCGTAGTTTTTCTGCCCAAAAATATACATTTCCATAAAATGCTTCTTCTTTTTTCAGTGACTCGCTAAAAATTCAGAAGAAAGAAGTAAAAAATAAATAATTGTAAAATAGCGAGTAAAATATTTTAAGGGAAACTTTTTCGTTATTCATATAAAGAAAAAAAGAAATGAAAAAGCGAGAAAGAGCAATAGATAGATAGATAGATAGATAGATAGATAGATAGATAGATAGATAATGAACAGGATGAGATAAATATGCAGAGTGTGATGGATAAATTGTCGCCTAAGTTATGCAAAAATGAAAATAACACTAATATCGTGTTTTAACAGATATATTTACCAAAATAACACAAAAATATCTTGAAATACTAAAGAATAAATTTATTCAATAAAATCACCATTGTCTTCAACCAGGACCTCTAGACAACTTTCGAATCTCCTGCTTCTCTTCTGGACAGTTTCCTTGTTTAAGTTGGTGAACACTGCCATAATCCTTGCTTTCAGTTCATCTTTTGTATTACAAGTAGTTTTCTTGGTCTCTGGTTCAACCGCCCCCCCCTCATAATAATCAAATAGGTTGCAGTCTGGAGCGTTAGGGCGCCATATTCAAGGAGTGATGCGGTCGTAGAAATTGTCTGGCAGCCATGACTGGGTTCTCCTGCTTGTGTGGCATGCTGCAGAGTTCCATTGCCAGACATAGGGTCTTCCAGCAGCCACCCTCTTGACCCAGCACAGCACTACACCCACAATGCGCTTGATGTAGGCCTTCGTGCTGCGTCTGAGGTTTTCACCAACAAATTAGGGAGTTCTTTTCTTATCAGAACGATCAGAATAAGATTTTCTAGCTGCTATACCTTCATAATCACAATAATACTCTTTCCGAATCCTTTTCACTGTCAGATTGATACCCAAACACTCTGAAATATTCGTTTCGAGATTCCGGTGCGAATGCCAAGCAGTAGAGCATGCCATTTCCAAATTTCTGGCGCAGTGAATTGCGTCATGGTACTCTTTTATTCACAGATGGTGCCCAAATGAACCTATACTGTACAGTCGACAAAATCAAAAATTAAAATTATAAAATGGCGTCAATTTACCCATCGCACCCTGTATAATAACCAGAATAGATAGATAGATAGATAGATAGATAGATAAGAGTCATACTGAGATCGGCCGACTGATTGATACACTCATATTTTTTATTAATCACTATATAGCCATCCAAGGTTGGAGGGTTACTGAATGAAGTTTTTGCATAAGAGATAAGTAGTGCAGTTTGATAGATAGATAGATAGATAGATAGATAGATAGATAGATAGATAGATAGATTTCGTACTACCACCACCTCTTTCTTCTTCTTCTTCTTCTTCTTCTTCTTCTTCTTCTTCTTCTCTATCAGTAGCAGACTGATCGCTCAGCACACTTATCTTCAGTGGATTTATCCTTAAAATCTGTCATTATAACCTCAAATAGATTTCAGATATTATTAATTTAGACTAATATCGCCTTCATCTTCTTTTCTTCTTATCTGTTATGGTAACTGTCAGGTGTTTCTTTTTTTATTTCACATTTATTCTACATTACAGAACAGAAAGGAAAAACAATCTTATATGGATTTTGTTTTAGGTTTTTTATTTATTTTCACTCATATTTCGTTCATTCACTTTTAGTCGCAATTTTTTACATCAATAAACAACACAGTTTTTAATGAAGTTGGAACTCACATATTTTATCCTTGGAGGCCTCGTTAACCTTAACAAATGCTTTCCGTAGTAAGATAGCTAAAATTACGATTTACTCAAAATCAAACTTAGCATTTTAAAATTAACCATTGATTTTTTTTTCTCTCCTGTCGTTCGACGCCATATTTGATACTGGCTTAAAAGCCACTCTGTTCGGCGGCATTTAAGTTCTTGATTGGGCTTTTGGTTTATTCAGGATTTTGAGAGTTCCTAAGTCTTTGCATATTCTCAACATTGGAAGCTCCCCCGAGTGCCGTTTGATCTGGTTTCTCATTTGTACGGGACTTACTTTTTCTCGCTGCAGCCTTGGCTTTTTTTTATTACAATCTGGTCCTCTGTTGGTGGAGATTTCTTTTTGCGAGGCACACTGCTGTCTTATGCGATAGGCAACAATAAATTATAGAACAACTCAATATTAATCGCTGTATTTAAATATTGCATTAATATTTAAGCCTATCTTTTAAAAGTTCAACGATAATTATTCTGCCACAAACTTAAAGACACTTTTGATGTATTACTTTCCCTACAAACAATTATTTTTATTTCATGGGTGATTTTCGCTGAAATTTATTTCAATTATTCTCAAATTTATTTCCAAGCTATACAAATTGTCATCGTACAAAAAAAGTGTCGCAAAAAAATCACATGAAAAATCGCTGCAAGCTATCGCGGTAATGAAAGTTGGGAATTCTAAATTTCAGGATTGCTGGTCTGGATCTGTCCGGAGATGTTTTTAATTAGATCACGGAGTCGGTATGGTTCCAAAATGGTATGATACGGTTTCTAGGAGTAAAGTTGAAAAAAAGGTGACACAATGACAATTGCATTTATTTATAGAGTAATATACACGTATGGTTTGAATTTGAATATTATCATGATGCCTGTTTTTATTAAACTGTTTTTTTTTCACCGGAAATGCATGATTTTAAAGCTCTTCCAAAAAAGTTATATACTTTTTTAAGAGCTTTAAAATCATATATGTGTGTGTGTGTGTGTTTGTAAAAGGCTCAAACACTAATATTCCATGGTTATATTTTATTACATTGGAATCGTAATCACGATCCAATTCACCAGACATACAAATTCAAAAAGAAATCGGAAAATATAACTCCGGATATAAAAAACAATCTCTGACTGAAATTTAGTTTTTATACTCGGAGTTATATATTATTTTTATTTGAGCCTTTTATATTATATTCTTGCTCTGTCCTGGACATTGAGCTCTACATGGATTCTATCCTCTTGGAAATATATATATATAGACCACTAATATTATCAATATATATATATATATATATATATATATATATATATATATATATATATATATATATATATGCGTGTGTGTGTGTATATATATATATATATATATATATATATATATATATATATGTATGTATGTATATATGTATTTGTCAAACTCCTGTTTTGGAGTAAAAAATAATCACAAAACTCACACTATACACGTGTACATTTTGCCACTGCGGTAAAGTTGCCTCGTTGTGTCTTTTCTATAAATACTTTCATGGTATTTGTCCGGATGAAGTCTCCGCTATGACACCTACGCATTTTTAATTTAATCGCTGTACTAGACTGGTGTGGAGATCTCATCAATTTATAGTTGAGATGACTAGATGTACCCGCAAATTCTATGTTAATAGTTTCTTTTCTCGCACTTCTCACTTGTAGAACTCCCTTCAGCTCTATGCTTTCCAGCCAGCTTTAATCTTCAGGAATTTAAATGCAGTGTCAATCTCTATCTACCGTCCTCTTCCTTACTTTTTTTTTTGTTATTAGTAATGTTTCAGTTTGCAATTCTTCTACTCCTTGCAACTCCTTGGGAATTATTGACTTCACTGACTTGCATTGGGTAAAAATCGATCGAAAAATATATATGGTATTCGAATTGTCGTTGTTCTTCATCACAAGCATTACAAAATGTCAACCTTCATTCATCAGTAAATGAAAAGGAAATTAATATTAGTCGACAAAAGTTTATCTAATAAGCAGCGTGAAAATACGCTTCCAGTGAAATTTCAATTAGTACTTCTATTTCGTGGGAACCCTCCTTGCCATAACAACATTATATTGATCAGCCTATTAAAGAAGAGTTGTTCAACCAAGAGACGTCGTACAAATTTGTCATCTCGCTATATTGCTTACTTCTCTGTTGTCCAGGTTCCTGCTGTGTTATTTTCTTTATCTGCACTAGTAAATGTGTAAAATAGCAGGGTAGACTTGTATCTCTAGCCTTAAGTGACAGTAAGCCTCGGAGAAGAATTACTTTGAATTCAAAGCCATGAAAAAGTTAACGAGAAACTGCATCATTATATTTCCCAAGAAACCATCGCAATTTACTGATATTGAAGAAAGGAAGCTGTGAAGACTGCCTACATCCTGAATGGAAATGTTATTTAAAATAAAAATATTAAATATAACAATCTGATATATGTCAGTAGGGAAATAAAGAATTCTTGTAAGGAAAAATTAGTGCCAGATAGCGGCTACCTTCTCAGATCGAGTCTTTCGTAGAGATGTCACGCATGGCATCAAAATTGTTCAGAACCATCTAAAGTTCTATGCACTAGAATCAATCAATGATTAAAAATGGCCTCAATGCGAATGATGCCTGTAGGTCTTGGCGAGGATCATCCCTCATCGAACCTAGTGGACTGGTGTTACTGAATCGCAAGGGACTGTAACAAAACAGAAACTCCATCATATGAGGACTTTTTACATTAAAAACTAAAATGGATAGCACATATAACTGAAAGAAAAAATCTCTATATAAATTTATGAGACTTCCGTTTGTCCGTCACTCCGTTACACCTTTTAAAATAGCCATACATTGACCAAATTTGTGGTAGAACTGCAAACAGGTAATGGGACTGTTGGTTTTACTAGGGTGTATAGCTTAGTACAATGAATTTTCATTAATTTTTGGGGGGGAAAATTAAAAGTTTTATTATTAACATACAAATTACTTCCACTATTTTAAAAAACAATTTAATGATTAATATCACAAATACTTATTTAATAAAAATGCAATATTGTTTTTGCGTATCTTTTCTTTAAGTTTTTATATACACAAGAATCCGGTTTCCAGTTCGCCCCGCGTTTGCGAGAACTATAAACAATTCACAAGGCTAAACGCTTTAAAAGTTGGAATTTGGCTTCAGAAAGAAATATTTACGCATGGCCAGTTGTATGTTGCTTGCCCAAGAGTAAGAAATCCTAAGTAATTATTCTTTGCTGTTAAAAAGGAAAAACTAATGAAATATATTTTCTTAACAAATATTGTTTACCATGAAGTCCTATAAAATTAAATTAAAAAACTTATTAAACCGCCAAGTAGATTTTGTGTCAAACTATTTTTCCAAACAAATCAGTTTATTGAAATTTCATCGTTTGGTTTGCGAAATTGAACAAAACTTAGAGTTTGTAAATCTCGACAAAAAATCTTAGCGATAATTTCAACATGCATTTGTTTCTAGGCCATTTTTGAAGACTTATTGTGATGGCGGCTTCAAGAGAGATAGAGAAAAACAAAGAACCGTTTGAGGAATCTAATGGTAATTTCAAATAGAATCTTATGTAAAACCAATGAATTGAATTAGTACACTATTACATTTGCACTGAGACAAATGTAATAGTGTACTAATTCAATTCAAGGCTATAGCCGCTATCAATTACTCCACCGGTTACCAAGTTAAAATCGGAATCACGAAGATTCCGCTGGCGTATACCATATTACGCTGTTTATAAGATGCTTCGAGCATTAGAGTCCTCTCTAATTTTGAAGGAAGTAATCGGAAAAATCTTTAGCTTGTAATTCATAGAACCTCCACACTGCCCCCGATTTTATCCACCAAATAGCATGATTTCAGCATAAAAATGGGACTAATCACAACAAATTAATCACAGACCTTGAAGAAGTACCAAATCCATGGTACCCGGCCGATTTCACTGATTAAACTGATGAGACGGAACCTTTTTTGCCGACTCGCTGTTGCGTGGATATCTCTATATTACTTTAATCGGTATCACCCCAGGCAAGGCCGTACAGCCATTAGTATGTAAGGGGTTACAGGGTGTGAAGGAATTAGGAACAGGAAACATTAGTAATGAGTAGAAAGAGAAAAGAGCAACCAGGAGTACAGTAGATAGCGATTGACATTGCATTTATTTTTTTGCAGATTAAACTTGGCTGGATAGCATGGAGCCAGAATAGAGTTCCACAAGCGAGAAGTGCGAGAGAATAAACAGTTAGCATAGAAGTTACGGCTAGCTAGCTCAACTGTAAATTGATGAGATCTCGACGCCAGTCCAGTATTGCGCTTAAATTCATAGAGTCTAGATATCATAGCGAAAAGATCATCCGAACAATTACCATGAAAGTATTTGTAAAAATTATAATGAGGATCACGGAGCGCCAATTGAAGCGTCATTGTCAGTGACGATATACAAAAAATGGTTGTTTTAGCATTTGCGCGGCAATATTTGACACCCTTACGAACCGTAAATATGAGTACATAATCAAGCAGAAATACCCGGCATGTGCTGACAGAAGCGTAGTATACAGTAGTGTTATTCGTAGTGTCTAGCATAAATGATGTTGCTCTGTGAGCGGTAGTTCAAAAAACAAGGAGGGGAAAATGTAATTTAAGCAAGAATTTCGTTTACTGTCAATATCCCAATTGAAAATTTGGTAATTTAATTATGAAACACTGGACATGTTTTACTTTCGTAGGCTCAGAATCGAATGTAACTGAGGAGATGCACCCCTCCTCACCGCAAATTTATAAATTTGATTTTCGATTTATAGGATAGAGGGTGGTTTTGTAGATATCTTCTCGAAGAAAAATGCGTCGTTTTATTTAATTTAATTCTTTTTTTTTTTTTTAAACTATCGGGATGTTTCATCTTTGGAATTTAAGAGGCATTTTTAAAAATTTTATTTTGTATATCTGCTATACCAGAACATTACCTATTCTGTTATAATAGACTCGCCCACACATAATAAGTAGTAGTAGTAGTAGTAGCGGTCGCCAGTTGAGCTCAGTGAAGTTGAGTGAATCAGTCGATGTCGGACATTGAAGTATCAACCATCACAACTAGATTGCTGCGTCATTAACTCTTATTTCAAGTTCCTAACGTTTTGTACATCGGTCCCTTTTTAGGACCGACTTAGTGAAATACAAGCCTCCACTGTGAAAACTAGTCTACAACAATATCCGACTTCTGATGTAAAGTTGGCTCTGCTTTAGTTTATTAAAGTTTTAACTGTTCTTTAAGTGTTTGCGCTAATTTTTATATTGAGGTTAACTTGACGATGCTCAGATTTTTTACCATAATCGTCATCCTGTACTCGGCCCAAGATCCAACCGTGTAAAATACTTAGTTTATATGGAAGATAACGGTAAAGGAACAGATTGAGACTGTCGCAATCGGGGAAATATTCTTTTAGTAATCGGTCCCACATGGCACCGGTTCGTGGGAAAAATACTGTTCGAGTGGGACTTACATCTCGTCAGTTGAATACGATTGAAATGATGGTTGTTCACTATAATGTGCGTGGCATGGTGGATCTTAGCTCTGAAGGTTAGCACTGGTGCCAGTAAGGAATGTAGTCCTTCTGAACACTTACCATGGAGATAGCGATAGGTTTGCGATGTTCGTCTCTGAGAAAGTGTTTGTAGGGTGGAATAGAATTCATCACCCACAAGGAAGCGAATACGCTTTTTGACTCTTTCAAGTCTGAAAAGTGACTACTGGGGAGCCTCTACCCATATATTCCATTTTGACCTGATCTGTCTCTTGTAAAGGTTAGAATAATACGAGTGACGTAATTACTGGAGTTGTACCATTCTTCCGGCATCTTTAGCGATAGATCGAATGCACGAACTTCACTTTAGGTTTCCGTTGGGTTTGAGTCCCAATAGACACTCAAAGCACGGAACCTCCCTGGGGAGAACATCCATTCATTGCAAGTATGATAGTTCAGAGTCCAATCGGTGATGATGGAATATAACTAGATTAGTTTTCGAGGCACTGAATGTAATTAACCAGTTTCCACCCAGTTAGATATTAGAATTAAGTCAAATAATAGATCATCTAGCAACCTCTCATCGTCTAGAGTTTTAGAGGTGCGCCAATATACCGTTGTAACAACAGTATGGATATTGTCAAATGATTGGAGTATAAAATAACCTCCAGTCAGTGGTTAACTGGGGCAAGAAATGACTTGTAAATTCTAATGTCTCCAAAATGAAACAGTTCTCATTTAACCACCATCGACAAACTTTCCTGTCCATCAGCATGCCCGATGCTAGACTCTTAGAGAGCAACACCTTCTTGGCCTTGCTTTTTCAAATGACTTGAAGTGGAACGACTCCACCAAATCAATAGCTGCATCTACTGCAAGGAAAGTTCAGCCACTCTGTCGTGCCAGAAGGTTTTTCTCAGCAGAGTCTATCTTGCACATTTACAAATCAACCATTCGTCCGTCCATTGAGTACTGTTGCCATATCTGGTTTGCTTCTCCTGCTATTCATCTCGAGGTTGTTGACAAAATCCAACAAAGGATCTGCAATGTATTCGATCCTGACTTGGTATGTCAGCTTCATTCAATTTATCACCGACGTGACGTGGGTTCCTTCTGTCTTTTCTGCAAATAGTTTCATGACAAATGCTCTGATGAGTTTTTTGGGGGGTTTTTGGGGGTTTTTTTTTTTCCTGGTGCCCGAAATACGTGAATTTAAACGTGCTACTAGATTGACATCTAGGTGCTACCATTTTACTGTTGAAATAGTTAAATATAACCGACACTTCTACTCCAATAGTTTTCTCGCACTTCTCGCCTGTGGAACTTCCCTCTGTTTACTTGCTTATAATCTTCAAAAATGTTAATGCAACGTCAACCTTCTATCTTCTTGAATCCCGTTCATCCTTTATCCTATCATCAATCCACCTCCTATACTTAGCATTTTCTCTCTCTGGAAGACCCTACGTTCTAGTGGAATTTCCTCCTTGCTTGGGGTGAAATGATCATATAAAAAAAAAAGATGATTTTAGTAAAGTAAAACCTGTTTTGTCAGAGGAGAGACCCCTACGGTGACATCTGCGTTGATAGCTAGGACCTCGGAGAACTGGCTCTTAAGGAACTAGTAGTTAGGAAGGATTTTATTATATTGGGATTAGCTAAATGTTCTAAATTGTGTCTGTAAGTAATATAACCTGCCGAGATTTTGTGTTGTTTTTAAATAAAAATTTATGCTTATGTTTGATCTTATCTAAGTATTTCATAACGAGAACAATTTACACCCGTAGATTAAATGAAGACTTCAGTTCAGAATCCCCTGTGAGTTTCCCAGGTAAAATTATACCTGAGGAAGGCACAACGGCCGAAACGCTGTAATAAAAAGAACAAAGATGTGTACAATAGTCCACATAAATATTGTAAAATGGGAACAAAATAAACTAAGTTGAAATTAGTTCAGATCTAACTTCTATCGTAAAAATTCAAACATTCTGATATTAAACGTGAATCAGATTTTGTCTCGATAATATAGATTTCGTTTTTAAAATGATTTTTCGGAAGACACCGGTCCACCGGCGAAACATGTCACAGCAAAAACTTTTAAATATTCATAATTCTGTCAAATTCTCATCAACTTTACTCCTATTGTTTTATATAACGTTGCATTTCCCGTTCTCTCTCTCTATCTCTTAACACACACACACACACACACACACACACACACACACATATATATATATATATATATATATATACTAACCGGGGTACATTGCTGCATTTGTATAACCGCACCCCCTGTATACCCGCACCCCCTGTATAGAAATATCTGCCGGCGTCCCCTCTTTCATGCATCATCCGTTAGTATACTAAGCTACTCCCACCCTCATATTTTTTACGGTATGTCCTTCGCAAGTGTTTGATTGTTCTTAATAAAGGAATTCCATCTACAAAAACTTTTTTGTGTGGCCGTTGCTCGGAGTTAAATTGTTTCAATGCTTTAAATATTCAGTAAATTTCTTATGGCCGTAATAACTTTCAAATAGTACGGTATTGTTCACAAATCTAATAATCAAACAAAAACAGGGATGAAGCGTCAGTGCTTGATTCAACTGCAAGTGCAAAAGCATGAACGCCCCTTCTATTTTCGCACGTTTAATGTAAAGCTGAGGTTAAAAAGAGGTTCTTCGGTATTTTTTTTCTTTTTAACGCTTCAATAATCCTTCTCAAACAATCCTTGCATCAAAGTTTACTCGAATGCCAATTTACGATGGAATCATATGAAGAAGCTATTGGCTAAATGCCAAAAACCGGCTCTGGACCAAGTTTGTCGCAGATTTCGTCCACTGAACTGAATAATCTAGACCAAATATTCACGCAAGATAATTTGTGTCATATGTATTTTATATGTCAAATTGGGAAAACATCATATGGAAACCAGGGAGTTATAGCAGAAGAAAGTGTTTTTTGAACAGTTTTTCGTGGTTTTTTCGTTACACGCGGGGAAGCGAACAGGATTATAACCACACTTATTTTTTGCATGATGGCAAATTTTTTGCGACGTGTTTGAAGAAAATCGGATAAAAAATGAGGAAGTTATTCAAGTTTTTATTTTAAGTAATACTAAAAACTCGATTTTTTTCCCGTTTTTTGCAATTTTTGTGTGAAGCCAATGTTGCAGGAAAACTATCAAGCACTCTACATAAACCTCGTAACATGAACTGATGTTTTGCATTAAGTTGCAAAGAACATCAGCGCATCCAGTCTAAAGTTTGTTCGCATGTAACCTTAGTTGTTGCAAAAAGTCGTAAACACTTTCAGTTTTATCGATTTTTCCGCCAAACCCGGCAGAGAAAGATATCAAAAACTTGGTTTTTACTTATTTTAATAGGTTTGCTATATGCATGAACAATTTCATCGAAATCAGACGAGAAATGCTGATATGCATAAATAGCATACACACAAAGCGGCAAACATCTACTTTATATATATATATATATATATATATTAACGAGGATTTGAGATAATTAAGTTATTCGAGTCTAGAAGAAACCACTGGACGGCCGTTTCGTCCTATATTTGGGACTCATCAGCAGTGCGCATCCACTACCGAGAATTGAAACCCGGACAGTTACATTGCCGGGCAAACGTCATGCCAGTTGTACTAACAGTCCTCGATAACGATGAGGTAGTGAACTAGACTCGATATTGTGCATTCTCACATAGGATTGTGCCCCCTAGAGCCACGACTACTATCACAAAGCCGCTCCATCCAGAGCATTAGAAGCCGGTACAAGCAAGGATATATGATAGAAATTAAGGAGGATTGAGATAATTAAGTAATTCATCGAGTTTGTGAATGAGCGGCGCAATATCGAGTCTTGTTCACTGCCTCTTCATCACCGAGGCCTGTTAGTACAGTTACTATGACGTTTGCCTGCCAATTTAACTGTCCCGGTTTCAATTCTCGGTAGTGGATAAGCACTGATGAGTCCAGTGCATTCTGTTGAGATTTCTTCTAGACTCGATGAATTACTTTTTTTTAATTTTTTTTTTTTATATATATATATA